TTATTTATTCATTACTTTAATAGGGACATAATTCAAAAAACACTTGGATCAAGTGGCCTAAATTGCAAAAAACCTTTATAGGTGGTTTTTTTTGACCTTATATTTTTAAAAAAACTTTTTTAATAGTAAGGGACATTTGAATTATATTCTTGCCTTTAATTTAGGAATCTATTTTTAGCTACTTGTCATCTTGCATTTGACAAGATACAGATGTAAGTAACATATAACCAATATATCCAGCTATATTGATACCTATAACATTAGTCAATTTCATTAATTTTATCAATTTTATATATCTACTTTTCCATCTAGTTATTGATTTTTGCTATTACTTGTTACTTGCTATTTGCTATTTGCTATTTTACTATTAACAAAATACAAAGGTAAGTAATATATAATTGGTATACCTAGCTATATTGACACCTGTAAAATTTGTCAATTTTTTTATTTTATTAATTTTTGACTTTATTATTTGTTTTCTATTTTGTTTTTGACTTTTTTTTTCTGCTTATTATTTTTTTGCCAACAAAATATAGAAGTAAGCAATATTAACCTATATATCCAACTATATCAATATTTGAAATGTTTATCAGTTTTATTAATTTTATTAATTTTATATATTTATTTTTTATCTAATTTGAATTTTCAATATACAGTATTTACTTGTAAGTAAATATCAATTAAATATGAAAACATTGTCAATGTCTACTGTACAAATATTAATACTTATAAAAAATATATATATAGAAACAAGAAACAGATTTTCAAAAGTTATAAAGCTATCAGAAATAAATATTCTCTTGCTGCAAAGGGTAAGTAAAGGAGAAAACAAAATTGACTAGCTGCCTGTATCCTGTATTGAAAATTGCTATGTGCTTCTAGAGAGAAATCTTGAACTAGTACAGGCAAGGTATTTTCATTACAAAAACTTGTTATGGGTATCAAATAGTATTGATGTTGCCTCCAGTAAGAAATCCTAGACTAGTAACCTATATTGTATCAACTTGCAGCTAGGTATATTGCAGAATATATGCCATATGCCTCTAGTGGGAAACTCTGAATTAATACAAGCAAACTGTGCTGTTAAAATGCTGTCTATATCTATCGATGTTTTAATATTGCTTCCAGTAGAAAATTCTGGACTAGTAACTGAAATTTTTGTCAATTGTTATGTTTGCATATATGTTTCCAGTACATCAACTATAAAGTCTAGCTACTATAAGCAGTACAATCGACAAACAAATACTGGTATATACAAGGTTGTCGATTATTTATATTTCATATAGCAAGGTTATATATATATATATTAAATTGTTTTTTATATCTATTATTAGAAATCTTTATTACTGTCTTGTATTTTTTTGTGTCACAAAAAATTGATAATCAAATAAAATATATTTCTTTTTTAAACAATCCTATTTACAATTTGTTAAGTATTTGTCTGATCATTTCTAACCCTGCTATTGATTCTTACCAGAATGTAAATATATTAAAAGTTTCTATATATATTTTTAAATTTATTAATGATAAAATAAAAAATAGAATAACTGATAAAAGATTTCTTGAGGTTCCTTAATTGTTGTAAAGATGATATGAAAACTGCTACTAATGCTTTGAAAATTGATATTGCTGAAGCAAAAAAAAATAAAAAAAAATTTATAAAAATTTTGTAAGTCTAAATTTTATATGTTTTTTTCAAGCCTGTATTAATTTAATTACATTATATTGTAGGTTAGAGAAAATCTCTTAACTTAAAAATATTTTGACAAAGTACATGCAGTAAAAACAATATTTTTGGATTCTGTTCCTGGTTATGACAAAAAAAAAATAAAAGAAAAGTGGATTTATGAAAAAAAAAATCCTCTGCCTCCCCATATACCTGCAATTAATACTGCCTTCTGTTTTATAAGAACAATAAAAAAAAATGAAAAAATAATAATTCATGACAAGACCTTAAACAAAGTAATACTTGCTATATATCGAAATCAAATTGGTTCTAATATACTTGAACTTATAAGAAACACAATTGCTGATATGTTTGTTTTATGAAGACAAGTCACCTGATCATTTGAAATAAAAAAACTGGATCAAGATGTTTTAACAGTAGCAAAATATATTATATTTAAATAAGTTTATTTTTAATTTTTAAATTTTATTAACATATAAATACTTGCAGGTATCTTTTGATAAGAGAAAGTAAAATTTTTACATATGTTCATAACATATTTATAGAATTGCGAGAATCTGAAAGACAATATTTGCAAGAAAAAAATGTTGTAACGATAAACAGCTTTCTTTTTAACTATATTATAAATATATTTTTCAAGGATATGACTTCAAATATCCCAAAAAAAAATTGAAGAATTTGATCTTCTCTAATTAGATAGTAACTAATATAATGCTGTTGATAAAGGAATTATAATTTTTTGCAATGGCAAAAAAATTTTTTTAAACCACCCTTTAGGTCTTTATAAGACTTATGTAATCTTGAGATATAGTAAATTTGTATTTACTGATATTAATTTTTTAGAACATGTGATTGTAGCAACTTGTTTAAGAGAAATATGACTTGTCAATAATAATGAATTTGATTGTCAGGAAGGGTTTTTGATAATGGTAATTTTTATTTAGCCAAATGAGGAATTAAAGTAGAAATAACAGATATTTTTAAAAAAAATATTAAATTTTTAAAAATTTAAAATATTTTTGGTTTAAATTTTTAATATTTTTTAGGAAATACTCTTTACTGCTGACTAGAGAATAAATTGCATGGCACTACAGTCTTGCCAATAGATGGTATAACTTGTGGACTGTTACAAAATTTAGTCAAAAAAACAATAACAGCTATAAAAAAATGAAGGGAAGGAAAAGAAGAAATATACCATATGGATTACTAACATAATTAACAGATTCCTATACTTTACAAGCTCTTGAAAAATCAATAAAAAAAATGATGAAAAAAATAATACTAATTATGAAGAAACATATATAAATATAGAAAACAATAATTAATTATAAATAAATTAATAATTTTAATAAATTTTATTTATAATATTAATTTATATTTAAAAATAAAAATTTTTTAATTAACAGCTTTTTAAATTAAATTAAAGTAAATATGTTATAATAAAAATCATTATTGACAAAACAATCGAATCGAATTGGATATAAATTGAATCAAGTAAAATTAGATTCGAACTGAATTGAAATCAAATTGAATCAAGCTATCATATCTAATTTGAATTTAAATTGTATATTTAAAAATAAATCAAATCAAATTTAGCTAAAATCTGATTTGATTTAATTCATTGCAATTTCTAATTACATGCATATGATTTCTAGATAACCAATAAGATTATATATACTATTTTAAACTTGTATTTTTATTTTATTTATTCATATTAGAAAAACATATATATAAGAAAGCATTTTTCCTTTGAAAAATAATAAAGTTGTTTAGTTTCTCTCATATTTAATAAAGTTTTTCTTTATTAATTATAAACAATGTCTTGTTTATGACTTTTTTAACATGAAATATTACAAATATATTAATAAAAACCTATTAAGTAATTTTATTTTTTATATTCTTATTAATATATATTTAAATTTTTTTTTATTTTATCAATTATTTATTGAATTATAAATAAAAATAAAAAATAAAAATTTGTTCAAAAACTTTTTAGATGAACTATATATATAAAAAAATTTTTTTTTATATTATAATTTTTAAATTTATATTGAATTGATTTTTTATTATAAAATATTTATAAATAAAATATAAATTAATTTATTTATTAAATTTTAAAATATTAAAAATATAATTAAAATATTTAAAAATTTATTGTAATATTTCAATATAATTTAATAAACAAATAATTTCAATCTAAATATATAAAAAATAATAAGATAAATACTTTTTTTAATACAATAAATGCTTGTTTAATTATGTAAAAAAAATAATAAAATTTAATTGTGTGAAAAAAATAATAAACAATCTAAGGTATAAAAAAAAATAATATGATAAGTATAAGAATTGCCATTTTTGATAATTAAACTTGTTGGTCGATCCTATTGTTTGAATTGTATATAGTTGATACTAACTAATTAAGGCCTTCATGGAACAATTAAATTCAAGGTTCAGTGGTAGCCAATCAAAAACTAGTGTATCTATTATAATAGGTTTTAATTAGTAGTGCCGTAAATGAGATACATAAGAAACCTTTGGTATGTTATATGGTTTTTCGCGAACTTCCCTGAAGTTCTGACTCTACAACATTATACTTTATAAGCAAAATTTTATAGTGACCGAGCGTCTCCTTCTTTGATCGTCGTAACCATCATCACAATTTAATTTGAATGTACAATATCCCACAAATCGCTTATGGACAATCTCCATTACAACCCCAAGTAATAGCTTCCAATACAACTTCTGGGGGAGAAGGAGGTGGACCTATTATACCTAACGGCAAGGATAAATTACAAAGTTTCTCGTTTTTGACTCTTTGCATTAAGTGCTAACTGCATATTTTTGTGTGACGATCTTCCCATAGTTCGCATTTCGTTTATTACAGCGGTAGATCAGACTAAGTTTGAGCAACTTTACATTCAAGGTGTAGGGGGGGGGAAGTACCTAACTGGTATGTCTCCTTCAAGATTTAATTTAAATTCTACAGAATTTGTTGATAAGTGTATTAATTTTTTTAAAAATATACTAGGTGAAGGAGCGCGTGAAATCTTAAAGCATTCACCCTTAGCCGGTGATATATTGGCTAAAATATGGTTTGCTAAGGTTATTTGTGTCTTCAGTAATGTTTGTTTGGATCTCATACCTTTTGCTCGTAGGACGCTATCCAATTTGACTTCAAGCGGACATCTCACTTTCCCGGAGTTTGCCCTATCAATGTATCTGACCAATATGAAAATTAAAGGTCAAGAATTGCCAACTACGCTTCCGGAAAATATACGTAATGAAGTACTAGGTATAATAGATCAAATAAAAGCCATCGAGCAGAAACAACAAGAACAACAACTTCAGTCTCAAATGCAAAGAAGCAATAGTTTATCTCAACCACAAATGATGCAACAACAGTATACCGGAATGCCTGTAGCTCTCAATGTTGGGCAATATTCTGTCACTCCGTCTGTTGTTGCTCCTGTTGGAACACCTATAATACAAAATATAATGCCATTCACGCAGAGGATGATGCCTCAGCAGAATCCTCCTCAACAATATAGTACGGTTGGATTGCAAGGAAATGCAAAAATTCCATGGGCAGTGACACCAGAAGAAAAGATCCAATATCGGACGATATTTAAACAATGGGATTCGACAGGGTTGGGGTATTTAACTGGTAATTTTTTCATTTTTAGATTTTTAATGTGAATAGATTTAGATTATTTCGTTTCTCATTTTCATTATCCTTAGGTGAGAAGGCAAGAGAAATCTTATCTCAATCGGGTTTACCACAGAACGACTTGATGCAAATTTGGTGAGAAAGTTTGTTCAACTACTCCTTTTCATTAAATTTTAGGTATTTAAGCTGAGCGAGTATTAAACATTTGACGCAGGAATTTGTCTGACCCCAATAACAATGGAAAATTAAATCAAGATGAATTCGCTGTGGCCATGCATCTGATTTACAGAAAACTTAACGGTTATGATATCCCAGTGAAACTTCCACCTGAACTTATCCCTCCTTCTTCAAGGGATCTAGCTGAGAGCGTCAACCAACTCAAGAATCTTTTAACCTCTGAGGTTCATGCTTCACAAACAGGATTGAGTTCAATCAGTGGTTCGCAATATGTTAAATCACGAAGTTTTACTGGGTCACCTATGGTCAATAAAAATGATGCTGTGGTATACAAACACAAAGACGATGAAGTGGGATATGTGTCGGCTGCAAGAAGGCGTGTTCCTCCAGTGTCTCGTAATGCGTCTAGTTCATTTTCTTCCTTATCTAGATCAACGCTTTCTGAATCAGCTGGTGAAGAGCCGTCAAGTAAATTGTCGGACCTACGAAAGCAGATTCATGAAAAACAAATTTTGTTAGATGCATTATCATATTCGTCAGAATCAGCGCCTAGATCATATGGTTATTCCTCCTATTCGAATGAAAAGATTGATGTGGATGATTTGAAATATAAGATTAAGGACATACAGAGAAAAGTAGATTCCGTGCGAGATTCTCATCCGGAGTGGCTTTCTAGAGAGTATACTAGAAATTTAGATGATTTGAGTTCACTGTTAGAACAACACAAAAATTTAGATTACGACCTCAATAAAATGCTTTCGAACACTGTCCCAGATTTGATTTTTAGAGCTCGTAAGATCTCAAATAAAGTTGCAGATTCAAAATTAGAGCTTTTTAAAATCAGAGACTCCGTGCAACAAGAACGTACGTGGATGAACAATAGATCTTTTGGCTTCGGTGGTGGTGGGTATGATTCATTTACATCAGGACGTTTAGAGGAAGAAACCGCAAGAATTAATGCTGAGAAGTCCGCACACGAAAGACAAATTGAGGATGTTGAAAAAACCATGTCCAAGTTACAAGATTATATGACTAGGGTTTCAAGGGACCGAGAAGAAATTGAAGAAAAGATGTATCAATTGAATCGAAATAAAGATGGTCGTAATAATGATAAGGAAAAATGGGAGGATGGAATTGGTGTTAGTGAGGAGGTTCGTCGTTTCATAGAGGAGCTCAAGCGTGAAGAACGTCGATCAGCATCTCGATCAGAATATAACGATACTCGCTATTCGTCGGCCAGTAGTGATACCTATAAACGTTCAACTTCAACGAATTCTGTTTATATCACTAGTTCAGTTCCAAGTTCCTTATCTAAAGCAAAAACTCCTGAAGAACGAGCCGCATTTATCAAGGCAGAGGCTGACCGTATGCTGCAAGAACGTCTGGAGGCACTTGGTGTTAAGCCAACATCAGGTTCAGAGAAATCTTCTCCACCAACTTCTCCTTCTCTTAGCGACCGTCTTGCGCGCGAGAAGGCTGAGGCAGCTGAGAGGCTTGCTCGAGCAGAACGTGAAGTAGAGGAACGCGAGCGTGCGCGAACCCAAAAATTATTGGCCGAGAAACAAGAGAAGGCAGAGAAGGAAGCTGAAAGGTTAAGAAAAATGGAAGAACTCGAACGGAGAGAGGAGGAAAGAAGGAACCAGTGGCTTGCAGAAGCTAAAGAAGTTGAGCGTGCGAAAGATAAAAAAGCGCGTGATAAGGAAGATGCTGCACGTGCAATGGAATTAGAATTAGAAAAGAGACGACTTGCAGAAGTTGAAAGAGAAAAGAGACAACAGGAAGAGCGTCTAGCTCGTATTAAAAGAGAGGCCGAGGAACGCGAAGCAGAAGAAGAACGCCGAAGGCTTGAGCAAGAAGCTTTGGTGGAAAATTCAAGAGCGGCTAGAGAAAGAGCAAAAAAAAGGGAGGAAGAGGCTAAACAACGTGAGGAAGCTGTAAGACGAGACACTGAAATACTTGCAAAGTCAAAAAAAGATGAATTCAATTTAAATTCGAAAGTCTCTGATAATCCAGCAATTTCATCATCGCCTGTAGAAAATGTCAGCAACAATCCGTTTTTGAAGTTCAGCGCGACCTCGCAAAGCCAACCTGATGAGAATGAAGTCAACAAACCGTTGGAAAATACAAATCCTTTCTTCAAATTTACGACTGGAACGAGCACAAGTCAAACCATAGTTTCCAGAGAAGTCCAAGACGATGATGATTGGAACGTTATTGATCAGAATGAGGATAGCAGTGATGACGGTTTCAATGTTCCCGTTGGTAATTCCAAGAGTCTAGCTGCTAAGTTATTTGGCTCCGTTGGTGTTGACAAATCACCGCAAAAGAATCAATCCATAGAAGTACCAAATTCAGAACCGAAGGAAAAATTACCATCGCCTCCAGAAGTTTCGTTTAATACGAGTACACCACTAGCCTCTATTCCTGTTGCACCGCCACCGCCGCAACCACCACAACCGCCACCGCCACCACCACCTATCGCAGCTGGGACTCCATCTTCAAATCCACCTCCCTCAAGTTCGCGGGGAGCCTTACTAAGTCAAATTCAACAAGGAAGAAAGTTGAGACCTACCCAGACCAATGATCGATCATCACCATCCGTTAGCGGTATGCAATAATTTGGGTTTATTTCAAGTAATTTTTAATGTTAAAATTTTTTTGTTAAAAAAAATTTCAGGAAAGATAGTTGGCACCACTGGTTCTTCAGATGTTCCAAATGTAGTCAACTCCACTGTTTCTCCCGATGTTCCTAAGGTCGGTCTACCCGGAATGGCGGGATTATTGGCCGGTGCCATTACAAATCTTAAGAAAAACGATGGGGCTGAAACTAGCCGTTCAGTAGAAGGAGATCAATCAGTTGCAGTAGTTTCTAGACAAAGATCCGTTGCCAAACCTGACCGTAGAACTTCAGCCGATTGGTTTGGAAGCTTGGCATCGGATCAACTTGCAGGAGAAATAAAAGATTCAACACAATCACAGGCACTCAATATTCAAACAACAATTGAGGATGAGAATGAGAAACAAATATTTGGAAGTCCGATTGAGAAATCGACCATTGCTGCTTCGGCGGAGGATGACATAAATTATTCTCAAGAATTTCGTGTGAAGAGCATGTTTCCATATTATGGTAATGGTGAGCCGGATAGTCTTCAGTTTGAATCTGGTGTTATTTTCTTGGCACATCCTTCCAAAAATGAATCAAATGCGGCTTGGTGGTATGGTGTGATTGAGGAATCGGGTACGAAAGGCTGGTTTCCTAAAACATATGTGGAAATTTATAGCGAAGGTATGATTTTTAGTTTTTCGGAGAGAGTTCCAATTTATTTATTTTTTATCCCTCACACATTTCATACAATCAAATTTTAGAAAAGGAAATTTGCAAGGCCAGAGTCCTTTATGAATGGAAGGCGCAAACACCTGAGGAGCTTGATATCAAACCAGGAGTTATTGTATCTATTATTGACAAGTCATTAGGGGATTGGTGGAAGGCGGAGTATGAAGGCACAAAGGGAATTATTCCATCGAATTATGTCGAAGAAATTTCTAGTAGTAGCGGTTAGTGTTTGCCTTTATTGTTATTGATGTACGTGTTTTCTTTTTTACAGTTACTGTGTATGTGTGATGATTTTAAATGCAATCATCTTTCATCTCGCATACCTTATTTCATCCAAATTTTTAAGAATAAGTATAGAGACGTAAATTGGAACTATATTATCAAATAAAATTAAATGTAACATTATGTGTATTATTTATTTATTGTGTTTGGAAAATAATGAAAAAATTTCTTTTATGTCTTTCTCTTCTCTTTCAATTTTCAATTTTCTTATGCCCTGCATTCGGTTGCTACAAAGTCCATAACAAATCAGATGAAGCTATGACAAGTGAAGTTGAAAAAACAGATGATGATACAACAGAAGATGATACAAGTGAAGACGATGAAATAAGTGAAGATGATACGAGCGAAGATGAATCTAATGAAATTGATCAAATGAGTGATACCTCTAGTCAAAAAGAGAATGAGACACCATTTAATGCAACACCAATAGAGATCCCAAAACTTAATATTCTACCTGAACAAACTCCAATCAATAAAAATTCATCACTGACATTTAATGTTAGTTCGAGTTCCCAAACATCATCAGAATTTGCTAGGAGTCCGAGTCCGACGCGAATGTTTGGTTCTAGTCCAATAACCCCTGTATTCTGGATGCAAGATGGTAAAGATTCCAACCTTGGCCCAAATATTTTAACGGTTGCCAAATTTGATGGATCAAATTTAGGACATGTACGTCGAAATTGTTACACTTTATAATTTCCAATGCGTATGAAATGCTATTAACAATATTTCCCCAATATTTTCGTGTCAAGTTACCCTCTGTGTCCACTTGGGCCGATTTAAGAATAGGTGAAGATCTTTCGAAAGAGGAACGGAAACGACAAGAGGCTATTTATGAATTGATATTCACTGAGCAAACGTATCTTCGCGATCTCCAAATAATAATCGAAGTGTTTTATGACCCATTGCAAGATTTACTCCCTAAAGTCGAATTATCCATGATATTTTCGAACATCGAGGACATATTATTACACAATACTGCTATCCTTAGTGATTTAGAACAGCGTCAGAAGGAAGATAAATATGTGGTCAAAAACATAGGGGACATATTGGTAAAACATTCAGAGGGCTTGAGATTGTATATTGTGTACTGCGGGAATCAATTGAATGCAAGTAAATTCATACAAAAGAAACGTACTGAGAGTAAAAAATTTGACGATTTTCTCAAGGTTTGTTGTTTCGGATGGGAATTTAATGTTCAATTATCACGCATGGTCTAAAATATTGTTGAAAACGATATCATATAGATGTGTCAACAAAATCCAAAATGCGGGTCATTAGATTTATCCAGTTTCCTATTAAAGCCTTTACAACGAATTACTCGATACCCTTTGCTGATACGTCAGGTAATAAATTTCTATGCTTACTCTTTTATGTACTCTATATTTATTTTTTTTTCGATCCGTTTTTTTAGATATTACACTATACCAGAAAAGATCACGAAGATCACAAGATGATGATGGAAGCCCTTCATAAGGCAGAAGAAATATTAGAAGAAACCAATGAAGCAGCACGGGAACAAGAGAATAAGATCAAATTATCAGAGATAGCAAAGCTGATAGATTTAGAGCGATTAGATGAGGTCTGTTCTTCAGGCATTAAAAAGCTGATATTTATCGTACAAATATCATAACCTAATAATCTTTGTGAACATGAAGAAACTTGACTTGACAAGCATGACCCGTCTGGTCGGAAAGCGCCAGTATATCTTTGAAGGGCCACTTAAGAAGACGAAGAGCGGTCGTAACTTGTATGGTTATATTTTTAATGACATGTTGATTCTTTGTCAACAAAACAAGAAAGCAGCTGCTCGGGGTTATCGTTATTCGTTGTACAAACCGGTAATTTCAATCGAAATTATTTAACCACTGTTTTAACTCGTATTTACTATGCTCTATTTCTTATAGCCAATACCTTTAAATGAGATATTCGTAAAAGACAATGGTCCGGGTAAATGTTTTTTATTATGTTTCAAATTGATATAGAAAAATCCAGAGGTTGACCATTAATGATTTCTTAGATGAGACTTGCTTTCAAGTAATTCATATAGAAGACGCGATAAATTTACGGGCAACTAGCATTTCTGTAAAGCGACAATGGGTGAATCAGCTTGCAACGGCTAGTGGATATTGCCTCACGGTAGAACGTCAAACTCAGACAGGTATTCAAAGAGGCCTTGTTAAATATTTTTATTTGATGACGAATTAAGTTTTCATTATCAATCTTTAGGAAACATGCCTACACCCGCGGATCACATTAGCGGTACACTTAGGGTTTTGATATATGAAGGCATACTTCCGATAGAGTTACACGGTTGTGCGACCACTTCTTTCTTGCGCTGTTTTTGCCTTTTTTTAAATAATATTTGAAACTTTAATACCTTTTATTATTATGTAGAACTCGATAATCCAAATAGCATTCAAGTATATTGCCAGGTACAATTAAATCGACAAATATTTAAGACAAAGCTAGTGAAAGACACGACATCACCACACTGGAATCAAGTATGAATTTCTAATTTTCCGTCGGGTGTCTTTCAACTATATCTAATGACCGATTGTTTACTGATTAGTACCTGATGTTTTCTGTAACGGCCTTGGAAGAAGACGTTCTAAAGGTATCAGTATTTAATTATGATAAATATTCGCAGGACGAATATTTAGGCCAAGCGGAAATCAAATTACGATTTCTCACACATTACGGTGACAACGAAACCGAAAAAATTACATTACCATTAAAGCCTAGCGGTTCTATATCTATATATCTAAGTTATAAAGCAACATATTAGTTTGTTAAAAATTCTTTAATTGTTTATATGATATGCATATTTGTTTACGTATCCATTAGAAACACTTGCTCCCTCACAAATATCACTGACAAAGAATACAATGAAATCATAGCACCAAATTGTTTTTTTAATCACAAGACATTAATATTCATAAATAACTTAATTAAAAGTTTAAGGCAGTTTAAAAAAAAATTTGCTGCCGGAACCTCTACTACTTTTTTCTTTTAAGAACCAAGCAGTGGTGCATGTGATTAACAGATAGTTCAACTCATCTGATTGAAGTGGTAATATCGGATTGTGAGTGCATTTACTGTATTCTGAATGCATGTACAGGCATATGGTATAGATTTAAATCTAGCTTACGTTTCTGAAATAATTCCACGAAAACAATCAAATAATTTTAAATAACAGGATTGATCATTATATTTTAATCATGAAATCCTCTTTTTAGTCAACATAACCAAAGCTCAATCAATTGTATCATGTATAACTCCGGCACCAAGGCACCAATCACCTTTCCAGACAACAACGTACTATATTCGGAAAACGAGAGGAAATTACATCGATCCATTTTTTAACCTTATTATTATTAAAAACACTCAGGATTAAGAATAGTTTACCTGTCCGGGTGCTATTGCCCATTGTGGCTCTTGAAATTCGACGATGTAGCTATCGTCTGGTCTACACGAATTATTAATATTTCTGAATCAAATTTATAGGAAATCAAGGAAAGCAAAAATCCCACCGATAATACCTTAATCTGACTTTGCACAAAACTATAAGACATTAGAAATTTTAGCGAATCAATTTCTACAGAAAAATTTCAAATCTAAATAACATGCCTGGGTATTGTCGATATCTAACTTGACCCAACAGTTCAACACCTATATTGAAAGATTTTTAAAAATATGAACGGTATTATTTTATCATCCAATTTTTCATCCATACCTTCTCTAATTCCTTCGGGAGGTTCATTCCAACTCCATATCCAATCCTTGGCGATGAGTCCTTTTGAGAAGAATGCTGGGTGATCCCTAAAAAGAGAATGGGTGAAAAAAAACATCATTGATGTTTTTTCATTTATATATAAGTAAGCTTACTTACGATCCAGGGACTGCGATCAAAGTGTTTTCCTTGCTATCACGCCTATGCACAAACCACCTTGAAGGTCGTGTGTTAATTAATAGAGTGAAGAAAATAATTAATAGGAACCAATATATATTGAAAGCACTCACTTATATTTGTCATTAATTCTGGCACGTTGTCCAATTGTATATGCAAATTGACCATTGTGCTGACCTAAATTACCAAAATCTTTCACTAGTGAGAACACTTAAAACAATGGTAGTCAGAAGTTGTTCCCAAAGCAATCTTACCAATAACTACACCATCAAGAGTTTTGACATCACCAGGCTTACTTACAATATATTGTTCCAAAAACTTTGAAAAAGTCTTCTTTTTTCCCACAAAACAAATTCCCATGCTTTCTTTTTTGCATGCAACAATAAGATCTGCCTTTAATGCTATTTCTCTAACTTCTTTTTTCAGCAGATGCCCCACCGGAAATATTACCTGAAATAATGGTCGAACGTTGGAAAAAAGGACAATAGAGAAATGGTAGCACTTCTAAACTTACATTTCTGAATTTTTCTTCTGGAACAGTTGACAGGAAATAACTTTGATCTTTATTAGAATCCGCACCTAAGAAGATTTGTGTCAACTGAAAGTTTTATAAACAGAATATCCAAGATATGATACCTCTTAACAATTTTATTCTTCCTGAATCAGTTATTTCGTTTTGAACGTAATGACCTGTTTAGTGTTTATATATGCTTGTGTTTGTGTGTGTAGTTAACATATTACGGAACCATAATGATCATATATAAAAACCTGTCGCAACCCATGTTGAACTTTTGTCTCGTTCAGGAATCGAGTTAAGACATCTGTCCAAAAACCATCCGAACTTGATTTTACGGTTACATGTAATATCAGGGTTCGGCGTTATTCCACTTTCATAATCTTCTATCATCTTTACGAATACATGCACCCAATATTCTTTTGTAAAATCGACCTTGAATAAAAAGTTGAGTTCTATATATTATTTTGACAAATAGTGTTTGAGCCACATGGTTTTATTTCGTAGAGAATTACCTGCCTACATGGTATTTTTAACTGATCACAGACCATCCGTACGTCTTGCCAATCCTGATCACTCGTACATTCACCCTCTTCATCGGCTATATCCCAATTGCGCATGTAAACACCTTCGACAATAAAACCCTAATTTGACATGCACATATTTTTGTTTGTTTATTTATTTTCAAAGAAAAAAAGAAAATTCTTTAAAATAATGGTCAACGTGTAAAATCACATCAAAATTCATACCTGCCTTTGCAAAAGGTATGCTGAAACACTGGAGTCTACTCCTCCTGACATGGCTACTATTACTATGATATTATATTATTTTTTTATATTTCTAAGTTTGCAGAGGTGACTACAAATAGAAACGAAACGAAACGTGCTTTACCTTTGTCACCGGGCTCAGGCTTTCTATGATAATGATTCAAACTTTTAAAAAGTTGTGTAAAGTTACTAGTTCTATTTAAGAAATGAGATAAGGGACGTGCAGGAAAGAATTGAGAAAACATGTTTGAAAATTTTATAAACAGATCGAGATTGTTTTAAATACAGTATCGACAAATCAGGATTTTTGATCTGCATGCACGCACGTATAAAATCTGCATCACAATACCGTATCATTAATACAGTACAGTTTAAAAAAATGTCTCGTACATCATCAAATTTGACAATTGTGATAAAGCTTGGTACTTCGTCAATATGTGATGAAGAAACTAGTTTACCGTTATTGTCCAATCTTTCATTGCTGGTCGAAACAATTGTGAAACTTCGTAATTTAGGCCATAAAGTAATCTTGGTCACTAGCGGTGCTATTGGAGTTGGATTGAGAAGGTTGGAGATGAATAAGAAGCCAAAGAAATTGGCCGCGATTCAGGTTATATATACATCTTTGTCGACTGTTATCAGGTCTTTGTAAAGTTCATGCATGTTAATTTCTTTTTTATTATTATTATTTCTTTGTAAAAAGGCCATAGCAGCCGTTGGTCAGGGAAGGCTAATGAGAATGTATGACGATTTGTTCAGTCAATTGAATCAACCGATCGCTCAAATATTATTGACCAGACACGATCTTTCCGATGTAAATTCATAAAACTTTCTTTCATGTCTCAATTATCGAACCGATTTCTTAATTTTAACATGCATCTCATAACCTCGATCACCGCACGACAGCGTACTCAATACCTTAATGCAGTCAACACCTTCACCGAATTATTGTCCATGGGAGTGGTTCCCGTTGTCAACGAGAATGACACCGTATCCGTTAGTGTAAGTATCTGACACCTGATTCAACGAACGTACACCTTTTCTGTAAATTAATCTATTATCACATGGTATAAGTGATGCCTAAACGTTGGCAGTTAGGTTTAAGGTGTTAAAAAAGGACAATCCCCGGTTCAAATATGGTGATAAATAGTGGACCTTTATTCGTTTCTTTTCTATTTTTGATCGCTATAATAGAGATATATATACATTCCAAATTATATAGGAAATCAAATTCGGTGATAACGATACTCTTTCGGCCATAACAGCCGGGATGGTTAACGCCGATTATTTATTTTTGATGACGGATGTCGATTGCCTGTATACGGATAATCCAAGAACCAATCCGAATGCCAAGCCTGTGGAGGTTGTTGAAGACGTCGGTGAATTGAGAAATCAAGGTTTGTCTTTTAATTTTTGCCGTGAATAATGATTTTTAATAATTATCGAATTTGCCATTATTTTTACGAACGACTTATTGAATTATTTCACATCAGTCACAGTTTCATCACCTGGCAGCTCTCTTGGTACCGGGGGCATGTTTACAAAACTGGTTGCGGCGGATCTGGCAACCGCAGCGGGGGTCACGACAATTATAAGTCGTGGATCAAGTCCTCAAAATATTTTGTCTATCGTCAAACATCTCTCCACTGATAATCCACCATCGTCGTCTGCACCTCTGCACACTCGTTTCTTGGCCAAGGATAATCCAATGGTGGATCGAAAGTGGTGGATATTGCATGGTTTGCACACAGCCGGCACTATTTACATTGACGAGGGGGCTGTGCGGGCGATCACAAAAGTTGGTTTGAAAAGCAGTTTGTTTGCGGCGGGGATTGTGAAGGTGATGGGGAGTTTCGTCGTACATCAGGCCGTTAGTCTAGTTATCGAGAGACCCAAGAAGGACGACGGAGGAGAGATTGAGTTGGTGGCTATTGGAAAAGGATTGGTTAATTATTCTTCGACAGAGATTTCCAGGATTAAAGGGTGCAAAAGTACAGAAATCGAAGAGAAATTGGGATATGCTGATTCTGAATGCGTGATCCATAGGGATAATTTGGCTATCACCTTAAAGAATTTTGAAGACAGTTGAAAGGTTCAAAACAATCGGTTGATCAAATGTGCTTTGGCATCATTATTTCTTCATTATAACGTAATTTCCTTGTGAAGGTTCAAAGGATTCGTGCGTTATTCATCGTTATTTTTATTTATAAACTTGTGAAGTCTTAAATTGTGCTTCACAACTAGAAACAGATTTTAATTATCATACAAAAATTTCTATTCCTATTCGGAAATGCGCCTGCTTCAATTATATGCAAACGATAAGAGGTGGGTTGGATTTAAATACTCGAGAATAGTTGAATGAACTATTTTTCTTCTTATTATGTATCACAGGCTTAAGTTAATCAGGATTAAATTAATTAAAAAAAAAAAAAAAAAAAAATTCAAATGCAATCTACTGATTTATCCATTTTTGACTGACACTGTTTTAACGGATATGTGTCGGGGGACCTCCATAACCATATGTTCCATAGGTGTAATTGCCTTGATTATTCTGGTTATTTAGGCCGTCGATATGTAATTCTTTTGTCATGTTGGTCAACTCTTTAATTTTATCATTGGGATCACCCGAGAGGTTTGGTTTTGTAGATTTCTGGATTGGGGGTTTCAATTTCTTTTCCTTTTCAGAGTATTCCTGGGGGACGAAAGAAAAGATCAATAAGTATCAATCACATACGATAATCATCACATTTTGTTGGGTTACCTTCACAATCTCGGACAATTTTATGAAGTTTGGATCTTCATACGCCACTTGTTCTCGTTCCTTCCTCATGCGTGTAGCAATTTCACCATATGTAGGGCATTTTAAGAACCCTTCTAAACTTTGATTGCAATTCGTGCAAACAAATCCCAATTGTTCCCTGATCTTGAGATCCTCAAAGATAGTATCTGACTGTTCCTTCTTGATGGCTACCTTTGACAATTCGTCTACATTGGATCTCGGAAATCCGCATTTACCACATGCGGCAATCTGATGGTGAACGTGCTTTGGTAATCTACACAGCTCACAATATTGTTTTTGGATCAATGCTTTACGCTCGTTTATAATGGATTCCATATGTGCAAGCCATTGATTGCATGCCTGACATGAGGCAAAGTCAGTGTTTGGTTGTTTGCATCCGTGACATGTTCCATAAAATTTACGTTGAAGGTCCACTTGTGACATAACCTGTTGGGGAGGAAAGTAAGAACTATTTTGATTATAAGGGAGTGGGGTTGGCTGATATTGAGTGGAATAAGTATTTGGGGACATCATAATTGAATTTCGGGGACCGTTATTGTTACGATCATAATATTGAGAATTTTGCACTTGAGTGTTAATTCTTGGTGCAATCTGAGCATTGGGATTCTGGTTGTACGTAGATGGTTGCTGCTGGTATGGTCTTGGAGCGTTTGGAACGGCGAATCCTCCAGGATACATGCTTTGTCGTTGTGGCACGTTTACCGAGGGATTTCTCTGTGGGTCGTTTTGGTTCTGAGGTGGCTGACCCGGATGAGGCATCGCATACGCATTGGTATTAACAGATGGACGATATGCTGGGGCTTGGTATCCGGGAGCCGTTGGATTATTTGACATTCTGCTTTGCAAAAAAAAACGAAATTTGTGATAATATTATTTGTTTATTTTGCAAACGTAACGGTGTACCAGAATCCTGTTTGTTTTCAATAGTAGCAAGAAAGGAATTCCTTTACTCAAATATTATTTCAGTAATGATAACAGCGAAACATTCGGAATTCGGAATTTAAAACTGTTTACTGTATTTGAATCAAAAAAAATCACGCTTCACAAAACGTAAGACCACGTTACATACCATATAGGCAATAAGATAAAGATTGACAAATATGTTTATTACACAAAGCAAACAATAATCTTTTTGGGCTTTTCTTTGTTCCATGGGACAAGAATTATTGGATTACTATTATTATATGTATATTCAATGAAGCCTTCAGTAAATCTGATTGTTCACACGTGAAAAACATAAGTGTATACGGTATACTGTTAAAGTTGTTTGCAGTGTAACCTCAAACGCTAACGCTAAATACGAATGACCTAAAAAAAAAATTTTTTTCTTGAACTGAATCGAATTCCTCTCCTGTGATCAGACGGATTGATCTAATGGATTAAAAATTTTAGAATTTTTCTATTTAATAATATAAAAAATCATGGTCGGTTGTTATGTCTGTATAAAATGATTTCTGTTAAATCGACGTATCGTATTAAGAAATCCACAAATGCTTTAGGATCCTTTATTTGCGATAACGATATACATTGGAATCTTTGGGTTCATCGTATTTGTACTGTTAATGGGACCATCCTCTCGTTTCAGGTACTCATACGTGAAATAATTCATCCAATTGGTTCTCTTCCTAACACATTTCACCGCTATATATAGGAACGGTCCAATAGGAAAGTTACACCATTTCATGACCGTAACTTCATTCGAGTGGACAGGGTATCTATTCAATATATAGATATATAAATTACATATTAAAGGATATTTGAGTATTAATTTGCCGTTTATTAGTACTGCTTTTCGAAGAATTTTTGGGGATCGACTTTCACGTACATGTAACGGCGTGTATGTATATTTTGTGGAAGAGAAGAATCCTGTTTTGCAAGTAAGAAGCTTTCGCACCATTCGTGTCACCAATAATGATCTGCATTCACGAAATTTAATTATATAATTTAGATTTTTTATTTGGCACTTGCAACTGGATCAGTCTATTTATTCTTCATCACCGCGTGGAATCATATTCCGGGACCTTATGTTTCCAAAATACATATGTAAGTAAAGTGTAGGTGTCAACTATAAGCTTACCACTTTTCGAAACTTCCGGATAGCCAAACGTTAATGTTCCAATAATCTTTTCACCGAACTTGATTTCATTATTTTCCCGATTTAGATATCTTATCCCAATCACAATTATCTTTACATATGCGTCGTTCATTTTGGCGTGTTATAGTGATCCCGGAAGAATCACTAAGCAAAATGTGGTCAAAGCTTGTAGAATGTTTGAGTATGATTTTCTATTATTTGAGCCGAGGGAATGCAGAACTTGTTTGTTTCTAAAGTATGATTTTTATATAGTCGATGAATTATCTTGTTGCTGGTGCATCTTGCTCCCAATTTTTATATAATGTATTACTGCATTTGCAATGTTTTACTTTTACAGGCCTGCTCGATCAAAACACTGCTCATTATGTAAAATGTGTGTAGCGAGATTCGACCATCATTGTAAGTTTGAAAATTCTGGTTTTTTTTAGATATCATAATGACCAACCATTGCATTTCAAACGTTATTCTCGTTTTATATAGGTGCATGGATCAATAATTGCGTTGGTCTAAAAAATTTTCGTTATTTTATTCTCTTTCTATATGCTACAATGCAAACGTGCTTTTATGGAACATACATAATATCCTGCATATTTTATGGGATATCCAAGAAAATGAATTTACATTCAGCATGGCTTAACAATTCACATACAGGGATGAGATCTAGGATTACCAACTATCAGATAGCTTTGGTGAGTTCTCTTGTCAGGAACCCACTTCACGTTTCTTTCTAGATCACCAATATATAATGATGCGTAAACTGCAACGCTCTCATTTTAAAGGTATTGATTCATCAAGAAAGAGTTCTTGGGGCATTAGGAATCTTTACTACCTTGGTAGGAGGAGTAGTCTTGATATTTTTATGTTATCAATTCTACCTAATCTTTTCAGGTAAAACTGCCAACGAATCATTTAAATGGGATGATCTTGAGGAAATTATCATGGACAGAGAACTATGGGTGTGCGATGATTTAACGAAATTTGATAAACTTCAAAAGAATAAAAAGAAATCTAATGGTAAGGAGGTCACGAGAGGAAATACGACAGCTGTTTATTGGATACAACCAAAAGATATTAGGCAACGACAGAATATTAAAGAAGGTGAAGGAGGGGATGGTGGTGAGACCAGTGTAAGCAGTAGTAATGGGAAACGGGAGGAGCATGCGAGGAGCGCGGCAAACTCGCAAATCGGGAGACGAGTGAAATCGATATCGGAGGTGAAAAACATTTACAATAAGGGACTATTGGTCAATATTCGTGAAGCATTCTTCCCACCTTCACTATAGGATTACTATTGCCATCGATTGGATTTCATATATTTCTTTAGCATTACCAAATATATCACCAACGTCAATAACTTATTTTTGCCGGAGACAAATCGAAAACTATTAGAAGAAAGTTTCTAATACTTCTTTCTATCATGCATCTTCATGGACTAACGCAGCTGTAAAATGAATTGATTTTTTTGTTTTCGAAAATTCACAATACCAATTTACAAAAGTTCAAATAAAATATAGTCATTTTTTTGTTCTAGTATTTCTCCAAAGAGAATGGCTAACCTATGTAACCTCACTAAATGTTCAACGATATACTGTGTATGATCAATACATATTGACTGGATCATTGCATATTTTTTTTAAAAAAAGAGATAACATATAAAGGTACTTTCAATTTTAGAAACAATAATTTCCTAATTGTTATACTCCTATTAGACAAACATTTTCATTTATGAACAACGTCGTTAAAAAAATCAGAAATGATAATTAATGCTATATAGTGAAGTGCACTGTATGTTTTTTATGAAACCTAGAAAATCATTATTATACCAAAATATTTTAAATAAAACATAGTATAAAGATTAAGATAGATGTTAACATAGACCCACATACATACTGTAAATGCGGTAATTATGGGTTTTGTTTGTTTTCTTATTCTTTTAGAAAAATGGAATCAATTCACATTTGTTTGTTCGGTGATTTTGAACTTTTTTTTCTGTTATAAGTAATTTTAGTGGTTTTTTTTATAAGTACAATTTTCTCACACTGAATAGTGTAATTAGTGTTTATACAAGGAAACTAATCGTTAATTTTTGGGTAATGCATTTCCTTGGCTCAATGACCGATTAACCATTTGAAGCCTTTGGCCAACCCCATCCAAATATTATCGCCATCTTTAACCTCGTCATTCTTCTTTACTTCATCGTTACCATCATTTTTTGTTCGGTCGACCATCGTCCCTCTGCCTTCGTCCCTTACATTCTGATACATTCTGCGAAATTCGTCTTCAAGGCTTAGATAACACCTGCGGGCTGCATACGGAGCGACGGTATTGTAGGATCTTAATCTACTGTTTAGCTTAATGATTATTTTTTCACAATAGGAAACTTGTTTTTCTTCCCATTTACGATTAGGTTTTTGAGGCGATAGATTATTCAAAGAACTATAGCGTGACCAACTCTCAAGAATACGATTTCGAAAGGCAGTAATTTCTTTATCAACTTCCTTCTGATATTCTATCCATGCTGGTGCAGCGCCCTGTCTTTGAACGAGGCGATTCCTTATGGAAATTTTGGCACATAATATTAATAAGATGATATTAGGCAATATTTGTAAATACTTGAAATTTCGATAATAATAATAACATCCTACATGAGTAACTCTGTGCGATCGAGATAAGGGTTCTGAAGTTTATATAATCATTAGAAATTGATGAGACAAGTTTATTTCCAAACTGATTAAACAAACATTTACTAACATTTTCGTTAGGATCAGGTGGCAAAGGTTTGCCACGGTAAGGAAGGTTTTTAAATTCACCAGCCGAAATTGCATCTTGTATACGTCTCTCCACAATTGAATTCCAAGCTGCAATACTTCTTGGCAAAGCCTCATTTTGATGCTTACTCCTGTGTTCATCTACATCTTTTGTTTTCTTAGCTGGTCCCATCTCAGGATGCTTCCTACCTATCGAATAATCGGTAGCCGCTTCCCTTGCATTCAAAATGCGATTTTGCTTTTTCTCTCGCAATTTTTCTTTCTTTTCCTTTTGGGAACTACTACGTGTGGAAGGGCTGACATTTTTATTAGATCTGTTCAAATTCTCTGGGGAAAGTGTAGGATTACCGGATTCGAATAATGACTCATGTGGTGAATGAAAATTAGATGAACTCGAATTAGGTCCATTAAATGAACTGTTGTAAATTACAGGGCCACGGCCATGTGCATCGATATATTCTTTGACAGATCCTCTTCTGACCTTTAAAGGAGGATATTTATCAACAATCATTCGTAAGACGGTTGTTTCTATCTCTTCTTCACCATTCCAAGGTACATCGGTTTCCCTGACAAACGAACTTTTTGTAATTGTGTTTATAGATGCAGGCGAAGGCTCATAAGAAGTTTCTATCACTTCTCCAGAATCTTGGTCTTCGTCGAATGTTACTTTAGGTGTCGAACATGATGATTTGGAGTCAGAAAACTGAGTCGTGTTCGTGAAAGTTTGTTTATAACGTGCTTTGATATCATTGATTTGGATCTGCCTGAAAACAAATGAAGTGCGCAAAGAGTATGATAATCTCATTAGGGTTCATATATGAATATACAATAATATACTGTACTGGGTACTGTAGTAGGATGATAAAAAAAGACTGAGGGTTGATCTTGTACGTACCTTGTGATTACATTTAATGCATTATGAAATTCTTAATTGGGCGGCTAAAATTCTGAGTAAAGAATGAATCCGTGTTTGGAAATACTGTAATTATGAACTAATTACGATAATGAAAAAAGAGGGAACAATAATTATTCTCATTATAAATATAACCATTCACTCCGCATAAAGAAAAAATTGATATTACTTGTCCTGTTAACCCGCTGATATTCACCAGTTTAAACTGATCATCCAGAAAATAAACAAGTACAGTACTTTATTGGTGGTGCCACAGTACTGTGTTACGAAACCTTGACCGGAAATCTCTCCGAATTATCAAAGCCTGACATTATGGACTTAGGGACAAAAATGCTGAATACTGTATGACCTTCCTGTCCCTATTTCAAATGATAGATATATAATGCAAGCCTTAGGATCACAATTATATAATAAAAATTTCAATTGGACATACTGTATATAGAATTTAATTTAAATTCGCGTATATTGTATATACTGTACATTCATAGGATCAATATACAGTAGCGACTAAGATAATACTTGAATCAAATCGCGTTAAAATTAGGTTATGTACACCTAAACTTATCCTAATCTCTCGTAATTTAAATTTTACTTTATTTGATTGTTTGTTAATATATATATAATTTCAAAGAAAAGGAAAATCAAAGTGATATTTGGTGTTCTAAGGACTAAAAAGTATTTACAGTATATATACAAGTATTAAAACCTCGCCGATTTTCAAGAGTAAATATTTCCACTAGCAATCATTCATATACTCTCACCGGACGTCTTTCACTCGTATCTAATGTAACCTTTTTCCGGATCGTCAACCAACTTAATACTGATATCAAAAGTTTCGTCTATATAACCCACTTGTAGAAACCTGGCCCACGCGATTGCCAGGAATAAGAATGCCCACAGACAAATCAAATTTGCTGCTCGAACTTTGCACGCCATCTCCAAGGTTTTGCTGCCGTAGAAATAGTTGGATGGGCAAAAAAACGGAGTCTCTCCAAATTCGTCCCAGGTAAAATGAGTATAGAGTACTTTGTCGTGAAAAAAGGAGGAAAAGAAAAAACTGATTCGTCAGAGGACACAAGATAATAACGCAAACAATATATTAATAACAACTCACAGGCATAAACTATCCATGCTAAGAGTAGCCACCTTAATAATTAAAAAAATGATATTTAATAAGAAGGTTCTCCTATGTATGTGCAATCATCGAAGAAAAAACTTACATTAAAATTTGTTGTAAGAAGTTATGTGATACAACGAATTGCTTGCAGAAACATTTCTTTATCAACAGAAAAATCACTAGCACTGTTAGGCAATGCAAATTTTCGATCATTATTTCCCAATCAAATTATCAAACACTCAAGTGAACCGATAGCCATCAAGATCGTAGACTCACCAGGACCAAAATATGTAATTATCAAATAACTATTCGTGAGAAATGTGAAGTAAGATCTACTTGATAAACACGTGCTTTTTTTTTTTTTTTGATATCAGACTCTCCGTTGAGACTTACACTACTTCGACGAGAATTTGTAGTTTAATTTGGCCATGCGACTTTTGAAAATATATAACTTTAAGAGTTTCTACGTTGAAGAGGAAAAACAAAAAAAAACTAAACAATCACACCAGAAGACAAGAAATATCTAATGAAAAAGAAAAAACCGTTTACGCAATTACCCAAAATGGGGCATCCAAAGAATAATATTAGCAATGGTACTGTTAATACTATGCCCAAAGAAAATTTGAAAAATTTCTTGCAAAACATTGTGCTGTTTATCCGATAGGTGATGGTCATATACCGTAGTATTTAAAACTATTATAGACGTGTTTCGGGGAAAATAATTAATGAAAGTTGAATATACGTGAAAATTCGTGGTTCAAGTAGTTAGTGTAACGCAACTTTGTTTGACATTTTTTATTGATTTTTTTCTTATAATTAAGGCTTGGGTAAAAATAACGTGATAAAAATCTATTAAGCCCGATTTCAAGGCTTAGAAAACAGATGGTTTCTATATTTTTATTTTGCGATGAATCCCAAGCCTCCTTTCAATGAATAGTCACATTCTTTCTAAAGATTATGAATTTTTTGCGACACCAAAGTACTTCTTGACATTAACAAACAATTGATTTTTAGAAGTTGCAGTGTGTGCATGGTATATACTGTAACACGATTCAGAAATAACGAAATTTTCGTGGTTTTAAATAAAACAATTATAATATAAAAAGGAATGTCATTTACCAAAAAAAGCGTGACGAAACGAAAGATAATCATTATAATAATTGGATCCCATTTTAAATCTTGAAAACCACCTTGACACATCCATCTAATTTCTTATCAAAGATATTATACGCTCCTTCGCCATCGCACAATTTCATTTCGTGTGTAATGATCTTTTCTAAATCAAATCTTTTCGTTAATACCAATTGAGTGGTTCTTTCCAATATTCTTCTAACCGGACAACGACCTGACTTGTAGGTGATGTTCTTATCGTACCCACTTTTTTTGATGGTAAAACAAAGTGGATTAATGCAAAAGTAGGATAAAAATATTGAAGTTGAATGTCACGTACTTTGTGGGGCTAAAAGGAAATGATTTCGAGTTATGGACGCCGACACTTGACAGCATGCCGGCAGGTCTGAGTAATTTGTATGCTAGCTCAAGAGCTGATGAATTTCCTACAACCTAATTCAAAAACATTATATCAAGAAATGTCGAGATGGGAAAAAGAAAGAACGAATCAATCAATCTGTAATACCTCCATAACCACATCGGCACCTCTTCCACCAGTGGCCTCTTTAACAGTTTGCACAGGATCATCGAGATCCAAATGAAGTGGTATAGCCCCAAAATCCCGTGCTAACATTAACCTTTCGTTAATGCTATCAATCGCATAAACTTTTTTCGCCCCGAGGTAAACCGCTGATACAACGGTCATCAAGCCAACTGGTCCACATCCCACCACCACTAATACATCATTCTCATCATAGGAATTGGCATCACATTTTATTTCACGTTGACCGATCAACCCATTTAGCCCGTTTTCCGCACAAAAGTATCCTGTGGACAGGATGTCGGCGAGTAATAAACCCAAGTTATCGCTAATTTCCGAAGGAACTTTGACAAGAGTAGTTGATGCCAGTGGGACTCGGATGTATTCGGCTTGCGCACCATTGATTCCATGACCATCGTATATCACACCGTATACTTGACCTTTTTCGCATCTACTAGTTATGTTTCTTATGCAATAAAAGCACTGCATTGGGTGAATGGATGAATGATGCTGTTAATGGACTCTCAATTTATTAAAAACTTTAAATTTAAATTAACGTTTACTTGCTTCGCCACAACAAGTTGTGAAAGGTGAAAGAACGCGATCACCTATCTTAAATCTGTCTTGGTCGTGCGGGATATTCTTATTAACGTCACTTCCGATTTGATGAATTGTACCAACAAATTCATGTCCCATAATTGTATCTTTGTCGGGTCCTCTTTCATCATTCCTATAAACTGAATTCAAAGAATTGTGTTGATCGTCCGAATCTTTAATTTCAAAGTGAAAAAAAAACGAGGAACTACGCATACGATGTAGATCAGATCCACACAATCCACTCGAACTAATCTTAACAATGGCATCAGTAGGTTCGATAATTTGTGGCAATGGCACCGTCTTCACTAGCACTTTGAATGGTTCTTGATACGTGATCGCTTGCATTGCTGAGTAAGACAGATTACATTCAACATCATCGTATGTCGATTTTATATACTGTAAACCTCCTTGCACATGATTTAGCCATTGGAGGCTAGCCTGATCAATCGGCAATATGATATAAAACTTTAAAATTCATGAATTAATAATTTTTTATTCAACATTATAACATTAAAATAAAATAAAATAAAATAATCATCATCGCATATTTTTTATCATATGATTAGTAAAAATATATATATAATCATTATACCGTATTTCTTTTCTAAATTATAAAAAATTAAAAAAATTACATGTAGCGTAAAATTCATATTGAATTATATTCTTATTCAATATTGCAAAAATATTTTAAATTATTCAATTATGTTAATATACGACTTAAAATAAAAAGATAAAACTAAATTATTAATAAAAAAATAAGAAAATTAACATATACTGTATATGTATAGTATATACAGTATTTATTATTACATAGAATATTTTTAAATTTATTATTATACTATATTATTTCTAATATCAATATATTTGTTACTTTTTAACTTTTAAAAAATAAATTTTTAATATTAAAAATAGAAATATAATAATTTATATATTATTTATAATATTTATATTTTCTATATTTAATCGGTATATTTAACATATTACCAAAGTTTTAAAAAACAATTTATCAAATCAATTTTAAATAAGATGCAATGAAAATTAAACTGATATTATTTTTGTAAAAAAATTTTTTTATTTTTGAAATATAAAATTTCAATTAAGGTTAACAAGATCAAAATTTTTTAATATCTATTGATATTATTGAATTATGAAAACTTATTAGATTAGTTTCATAATATTAATATTGCTTTATCAAAAAAATTTTGAATTGTAAAATTTATATACAATATATTAACTATTTAAAAAAAGATTGATTTATAATATTTAAAATAAAAATTGTAAATTACTATTTAAAATCTTAAAACACTAACAATTATATCAATTATAAAATATCTTTTAATTTATTAAATTCTTTATTAAAAGGATATTCCTTCTTATTTACAATTAAAAATATTTTGATATAGAAACAATAAAAAAAAACATATACACCATATAAATTATGATTTAATAAAAATTAAATGTTATTATCTATTTATTAACATTTAATATTTATTAATTGAATGTGTTATAAAAATTTAATTATATATTTACTTAATAGATTTTATATTAATAACTAATTATATAGTAATCTAATAAATAATAAATAATCTAATTTAATAAAAAAACCAATAATTAATAATATTTATTTTTATGTATTAAAAGATTAATGATTTTATGTATACTGTATATAAGTTTATAACCCAAAAGCAATTAACTTTAAAGTTAGTTACTTAAAGATTTATTAATTTAATAATATCAAAGGTTTACTGTGTGAGTGTATTTATAATATAAAAGGCTATAAACAAAATAAGTTTTTATAAGTAAATAAAAATTATAAAATTTTTTCCATCTTTACAGTTTAACAATTGTATATATAATCTAAATAGTTATATATAAAAGCACAAAAAGTATAAAAAGTACAAAAGTAACAGAAAATATATAGTGAAAAAAATTATAATTTATTATATTATAGTAAGTATAACAATTAATTTTTTTGTAAAGTTATTTTACTGTGGTTACGGACAAACTTTTCCTGGGTATTTAATTTTCACATTAAATTTAAAGACAATATAAAATGCATATATTTTGAACTCAGTTTCTTAAGAATTAAAAAACCTTTTTATATAAATATTTGTAAATAATGTTCTCATCCATATTGAATTTATAAAGTTATAAACCACTTGTTAATCCGAGAATGAACTCAAATACGAGTACAGTAATCAATCGTTGGATTGGTTCATCGATATTTTAAAAATAATAGATATATAGAATATAAATCGAAAAAATTCAAAAAAAGAAAGAAAAATTTTCAGAGTAAGATTGATATTATAGTTATAAACTTGCTAAAAATTGACTAGGTCGGTGTGTTCTTTTTAACAGATTTAATCTAATACAGCAAGTGTGGAATTTTTATTTTAGTAATTATATACGGCATATACAGTAATATTAACTTTAACTGCCTACCATGAACATATTCCGTTGAATTTTTTGGTTCTGGCAGACCTTTGAAGTTGAGAAGTCGACCCGTATATATGGCGAATGGATTTTTTTGCGTTACATTATAAACCGAAGAGCTTGATCTCATATTCTCACATTCGGTAATTTGGTTGGCCAACGTTGAATTTGGATATACCTCATAACAAATCCATGCATACAAAATCACACATAATTCACATGAATTAAATCGGTTCTGCAATTTAGCATCCCAACATTTTTGTATAAAGCTGACTACTAAATTAGGCAGGTTATTTTGAATTTTAGGTCGGAGCCCATTACAAATCTTAATCGCCAGATCTTTATCGTGTGGAACTTCGTTAAAAGGAGATGTACCAGATAACATTTCAGACATAATAACTCCAAATGCATAAACGTCTGCGGCCTCTGTATACTCCTTTCCGCATAATACTTCGGGTGCTACGTATGGAAGTACACCATACACTTTTCGCTCTTTTGTTTCGCTTGTGTATTCAGCAGTTGGATTGGACAAACCGACGTCTGTTATATAAGGAATTCCGTCGCTCGAAAAAAGAATATTTCCAGGATGTAAATTTCGATGAACTAATCCAGCTTCGTGCATTTGATATATACCTTTTGCTATATAAAATAAAACTTCGAGCTTATTAACCCATGACAGTTTGTAAATTTCAGATAGGTTACATCTAATATTTCCGTGGTCACTAAATTTCATAACAATCATAAAATTATTTGTCCCTTTACGTCGAGTAATTCCATAGTAACGTGCGAGACAAGATTTATCGCTACCGCAGTTGCAAATATCCTTTATCTGTACATAGATTAAATAATAATTAAAAAAACCAATATAACTGTTAGGAAACTATACATTAATAATCACCTCATTTAAAAATTCCTTGGTCATATTTTGGGAATCATTAAGGCATTTCAGTACAACATTTGCAATTCCTTTCCTTTTCCACTGGTTGTTCCTTTTATCCCAACAAAGGATATATCCATCAATCCATTTTGCTAAGAATATTTTGCCAAAGCTATCATTGGTAATATATTTCACATCTTCAAATTTTGAATACGGAATCCACTCGAGAATTCTATATTCATTTGTTGTTGTTAACTGCATTTCTTTTATAAATGCGTCTATATCATTGTTTCCACTTGTCCAAGCATCGAATTCTTGTTGAAATCGAAAAGAATTGCAAGGCTGACACCAATAACTTTTTCTTATTTTGAGACACTGATCACAGTTCATTCCTATAACAACTAAATTTTTTCGTAAGTTGCAACAAATAACAGAAATATGCTAATTTGACTTACCATCTGCAATAACAAACAATAATAATACATTAAATCGTATTTCGTGTAATTTCAGAAATGAAAGAAAAGGTACCGGACATAAAAAACACACTATAAAAGTTGACGATTAATATAATCAACCCTCATTTAATAATACCTTACAGAAATATTCTAGATTATATAACTTACGAAATTCGACTATAAAGGTTAACAATTAATATAATAAGCCCATTTTGTATGGTTTTACCAAATAACGAACATTCTAGATTTAACTTACGCACTATAAAATTTGTGATTGATATAATTAATTTTCATACTCGTATGATTTTACGACAAAAATAAAAAAAAAAGTTCTAGACTCGACTTACAAACTACAGCATAATAGCAAAAACAAGAATTGGATTAAATCTTATTTAACATGCAATTAAGAAAAATAACAAAATATCCTGATTTTAACTTACTCGCTATAAAGTTTACAAACAAATAAATTTTACTTAAACTTTCTATAAAAAAAAAATAACGAAATATCCTAAATTCAACTTACAATCTAAAAAAATTATTAGTCAATATAATTAATAATTTTACGAAACATTGATAATATCCAACCTATAAAGGTTGAAAATTAATAAACTAGCAAAAATATTCGGTGATTTAGCTTACCCACTATAAAAGTTGACGATCAATACAATTAAATCTTATTTCATGTTACTTTACGAACAAATAACGAGAGAACCTAGATTAACTTATCTATAATAGTAAAGAATAAGGGTACAATTAAATATTACTTTACATTGTTACTGAAATAAAGAGAAAAATTCTGGATTCAACATACACCCTACAAAAATTGACGACTTAAGTAATTAAAACTTAGTATTTACGAAAAAAAGATAACCAAATTTAAAACTTACGGGCTGTAAAGTTATCGATTATATAATTAAATGTTATTAAATATGATTTTATAAAATAAATAATGAAGATACAAAAGCTGTTAAATAATATAATTAACATTATCTTGTATTATTTTACGAAATATTCACGACTCAACTTACAAACTATGAAATTGATGACTTCAATTAAATCACATTTCAGATTATTTTATGAATAGATAGCGAAACATCTTAGATTCAACTTACTATCTACAATAGAAAGTAATAAGAATTAAGATGAACTTCTTTCATATTATATTACAAACAACGAAAAGATTCCGAATTAAACTTACCCGCTATATATAAAAGGTGTCGATTAATACAGTTAACTCTCGTTCAATATAATTTTACGAACCAAATAACGAAATACAAATATTCGACTTACAATCTAGAATAGTATCGAACAAAGTTATATTCTACAAAACAAATAAAGAAAATATCTTTGTATTCTACTTACCCCCTATAAAATAGGTATTAAATACAATTAAACCTCATTCAATGTTATTTTACGTAAAATATTCTTGTATTCAACTTACTCCCTATAAATTGATGGTGCAATTAAACCTCATTGCCTATGACTACAAAATAAATGACAAAAATATTCTATGCTGTATTTACTTACACCCTACAGAAGTTGGCAATTAATAAAATTATTTCATATAATCTTTAAAAATA